GCTGGAAAGATCCATGTACGTTCTACGTTTCCATGGGATCCCCAAAGAGAAGAACGAGGATTTAAAAGAACTTTTGGCAGTTGCCTTGGCCCCATTAATGGATTATAAACAAGAAGATTTAATAAAAGAGATGGATGTGGCTTATAGGACTTATCCAGACTTAAAAAGACGTAAAATTTTTGAAAGACATCTCTTTTGATGTTATAAAATGGAGGAAACTCTACAGGATGCTTACTCTCACTCTGCAAAAAAAAAAAAGGGAATACCATACAGATGGCTATTCCCGGAAGGGCTGAGCTTCAATTACCAGGACAAAAAATATAAAATTGACTCTGTTCCAAAAGCGGAAAATTTATGGATCAAATGTTCAATACAAAAAAAGAAGCAGAAGGAAATGAATTAAAAACCGGATGGGGAGGAAGAAGAAGAACCCTACTCACAGGATTCAACAAGTCAAAATTCCACATCATCAGATTCATCTGAATCAGAGAAAGGAGCGGCTGTCCCCAAACTCCAGAAAATGAAGAAACGTAAGAAGAAAAGACTCTAGAACTAAGACAATAGCACTAAAGGCAGTAATTGTGTTAAGCTATTAAATGTGTACTATCATAATTGAACCAAATCTTGATATAACGTGTAATATTAGGTTAAAAAGCATTATTTTTTCAACTATTCAGATCGTGACATGTATTAGACTTCCCCCTTCCCACAAATCCAGTAGATGAAATAGATTAGAATGGTAGTATTCCTTCCCCTATCAAGTAGATATATGTATTAGATCTCCTTTACTCATCACCCATAGTAATAGTGTTAGGGCATTAGTATCCCATCCCCCATCCCATAATTGTAGTGTGTAGAAAATGCAAAAAAATAAAAAAAAATCCCCTTCAGGGGGCCAAAAGAAAAAAGAAACTCCTGTATTGAAATGGTATTAACTATCCTTGATGCTGGGAAAGATTGAAGGTAAAAGAAGAGGGGGACAGCAAAGGATGAGATGGTTAGACAGTGTTATCAGTGAAACGAACATGAATTAAAGCAAACTCTGGAGGATGACGGAAGACAGGAGGACCTGGTGTGATGTGGTCCATGGGGTTGTGAAGCGTCAGACTCGACTGTGCAACTGAACAACAACAACAAAAAACATTCCCAACTGGGGAGATAGGGGAGAATGAGAGAACATATTCCAAGGAAATCTATGGAGGATGTACATTTCCAGCAAACACAACACTTTAGGGGCCTGGCAAGTATACAGTGCTCAGTCTTGGACATCCAGAGCTCTTAGTCAGTGATCCATAAATCTGTTGGTCAAGGTTGTAACAGAACCTCCCCCCCAGTGCATAGATCTGCCCCTAGATCTCTTAAGTCATGCTGAACTTTGTATAAAGTAAAAGCCTTAGCCTAATTCAAGTACAGTGTGAGACTTCTCATTCCATTCTGTGCAGAGACAGTGGGACGATTGTCTCTGTTCCTTGCTACTTCTGCCTTTTTCAAAGTTTGGTGCCACATGGGAGATCAGAGCAGCTGGGGGAGAGGAAGGATTGATGACTACCAAACACCATAGCTGAGCTGAACCAAAACAGGTAGAATCGTGTCCTTCTGTGACTCTTACTAGCCTTTCCTCCTGTCTGCATTTTTATGTGCTTATTTGTTTACATAGGCTTGAGTTGTTGTCCGGGGACTAGGCGGCAGGCTGGCCACTAGACCCCCACAAACTCCAGTGAGTGGTTGCTTAGAATGAGGCTCTGGCCGGTACCAAACCCCGAGTCCCCGGTCTTACCAGGGCGGCCACTCTGAGAGTCACCAGGGAGACCAGAGCCAGAGACATTAGTCAGGAACCAGGTGAAGAGCCAGGAGCCAGCTGCAGCTGCTGAGACCCAGGGAGGACTGGGTGGGTCGCCACCATGGGGAAAGGCCATCACAGCGGGCGCAGGGCTGGGAAGTCAGGCATGGGGAGTGGCTGCACCCACCACGGTTCAGACAGGGCCTACCTTCAGCCTGTCACAGGGGAGTCGGCGGTGGCACATTTAAATGCTACAGTCGCTGCAGACAGACAAAGGTGGCCTCTGGTGGGTCAGGGAAGCAGTCCAGATGCCAGAAAAGGCAGGGTGATGACCAAGGCAACAAGGAGCAGTGCCTTGACTCTGGACCACTAGGGACTCATGCTGAAGGCTGGGCTCCAGCAAGGGGCCAGGGCAGCAGCAATGGAATAGCCTACTCCAGCTGCAGCGCCGCACCAGAAAAGGTGGGGGCGGGCCCACACCGAGAACCAGGCAGGGGAAGGGCAGGGCCTTAGCCTTTAACCCCTCAATAGAGACCCAATAGCCACTGCCTGTGGTTGACAGGCAGGGACCAGATCCACTAGGAAGCAGGAGGGTGGAGCTCAAGGCAAGGGAGGGAGGGAAGTTAAAACCTCCTTTTAAAGTGAAATGTCATTCCTTCAGAACAGCCCCTTTCATCTGTTTCCTCACTCAGCATTTGTCCCTGCCTTTTCTTGGGCCTCTTAACTGTGTCCATTGTGGATGTGATCACAGCACCTTTGTTTTTGCCACTTTCCCCTAGATCCTAGTGCAGCTATGAGTTCCTTCTGGTTCCCAGAGCCACTTGTAAGCTGCCAACCCACATCATCAGTGAAGCAGTGCTTCTTCACTGCATTTCTATTGGGGCTTTTTGCCACATTTCTGTCAGTCTTTTGCTGACATCTGTGGAATTTCCAAGTGCTTAGATTTCTTGGAACTCTGTCCTGTGTGAATCCAATATTACCTTTTGTAATGTGTGAAGCTACCAAAAAGGAGTAGCACTTTTCTTTTTACTGTCTTTTAGAATGACTTAGTTTTAATCTGCTGACTCTTTAACACCATGAGCTAGCACAAACCATTGGCATTTTTTTCCTGTATACATACGTAATTGTTCTTAGTGATATAGTAGGATACGAAAATACAGTTGAAAATATAGTTGAAAAGGATGTTCTTTAAGTGCCCTTAATTCCTGTAGCTAATTTAATTGTTGCTATATTGAATAATATATATGTAACTACTGAACTACTTTAGTTGGGTGAATTTTTCATTCCTTCTTTGAGGGGTGAATTCTTTTCTCACACCTGTTAGTTGCACGCTTTTTAAAAATGATTAGTAGAAATTGCTCTTCTTGATGATATAGTCTTATATGTACATCATACTGTAACTGTGAATTAAATATGGGTTATTGTTAAAAGGGCTTTGCTCTTTTATCTGAACAGAACTCAGCCCTGAATTAAATATGGGTTACAAATGTGCATATAAATTATCAGAAATCATGTTGGTGTTCCTTGTCTTTTGAAAGACATAAAATGAAAACTCTGCTGTTGTCAATATTTACAAAAGCAAACAAAAAAATTGAAACTGCACTGGTCAGGAAAGTGAGTCTTGTTCCATTCTTTCTTGTGTTCGCCAATGATTGTACTGTGCAACTGACAATAGAAAAATGATTTTATGATTTCTGGAAATTGCAGTCAAGAGGGCCTGCCCCCCCCAAAAAAAAAACTTTAGATATTCCCAAGAGTTTGCATATGCTCACTGAAAGTTAGTCTTGGCTTCTTAAAATTCAGTCTCACATACTTTCAGTTTCAGAAAAGATTTGCTATTTGTCATTATGGGGTGGGGTCAAAATCACCCCCCAGCAGCCCCCTTTCATGGGGTTTGTTGCACACAAAGCAGCTTAATAGGAAGTTAGACAATTGATGTGTCAAGATCAGTATTGTCTGAATTGCAGCAGTTCTCCAGGGAGTCAGGTGGGGGTCTTTCACGTCACTTACTACCTAATCCTTTCCAAGTGATGTTGGGAATTTAACCTGGGACCTGCCCTGAATGAACCCTTGCCCCGAATTTTTGGGTTATGGCCTATGTGCTTGTCATTAAGGATGTGCATGAACTGGCTCACGAGCCAAAATTTGGCACAAACTTGAGCCAGTTTGGAGCCCAAAAACTGATGTTCAGGGAAGGCCTTACCCAAACATTTATCGGACTTTTGTCTGGTTTGGTTTGGCTGTTTGGGCCATTTAAACCTGACAACTGAATGGAGTGGATCCACGACTGACCTCTTAGGTTTAAATGGCTGTGAGCCATTTCACCGGTTGGTTTTGCTTCCCCCTGCTTCCAAGCTTAGAAGCGGGGAAAGTGAAACGGACAGTTTACATGGCTGCCAGCCATTTAACCCTTCCCAGGCAATCCCGCCCCCCTTTCTCCCAGCCAGGGTTCATCATAAGCAGGAGAAAGGGGGAGCTGAACTCGCTGGTTCAGTTCGGGGCCTTTTGGTTCAGTTCAGATTTGTTTCCATCCCTACTTGTTATCCTTGTCTGTATGTAGTCATTCCATAGGCTTTATCATTTAAATCTGTAAAATTAAACGATTTGTGTTTTTAGAGAAAATGAAAGTAGATTAAGGAACTTTTTATCAGTGATAGCTAAGTGTTTGGATTTGTTAGCAGAAGAGGGGTATCACTGTGCAAAAATAAAAGCTTGGCTCCTACAGACTTCATTCCCTTTGTGCCTCTATCCAGCAGTTGCAGAGGCTTTCGTTTGCTGTGGCTCTCGCTACCTCTGCCCCTAGCACTTCTGCAAGCATACAGACTCCTCAAGAAACATAGACCTTGTCCATAGGGACATGCTAGTGGCAGAGGAAACAAGTGCCACAGTGGAGGAAAGCCTCTGCAGCAGCTGGAGAGAAGCTTGAGAGGAACAAAGTCATAGGATCCAAGTTTAAATGTATATCTTTGTTATAGGTCAATATAGTGTCCATGCACATTACATTTCAATAGCAAACTTATTGTCTGTTTCTTCAATTCAGCTTCAAGAGAAGCTGTCTGAAAAGGATAAGGAGCTGAAGACAATAAAGCTGGACTTAGAACTCCGTGACAGAGCTACAGAAGCTAAGATTGCAGAGAGAGCTGCAGGTATAGTAGGTGATCCTTTAATAGATAGCCATATGGCTCATACAGTCAGCTTGGTTGCTATATGACGTGGCCTTAATGAACATTAGATATATTTGCTAAAGGAGGGACAGTTTGACTTTTTTATGTGAGGCTGTTTAAAGTTGCTTGGAAAATAGGTGGCTTTAACATCCTGGTACTGGTATTAGTGAGAGCTTTACCTGTATTCATACTGATTTGGGCATTAAATGCATTGTTAACACCATGTCAATCCAATCACAAAAAGGTTGTTTGTTTTATTGGAAGGTCCTGAACAAACAAGGGAAATAATGATTATCACTGCCACTACCTTTCAACCAGCAGTTCAAATACCCTCTTATTGTTTTAGCTTCTTCAGAGCGACGCTACCCCCTCTTTCCGAACACCTTTGTATGGAGATGTTTATATGTTCACTTCAGTCCTGAAGTTCAGGGGGGGGGGGAGTGAAAACTGAGGGCTTGGCTGTTGAATGGAATGATGTCTGGTGATTATCAGAATTCTAAATAATTGCACAGTGGAAAACTTGTTACATTTGAAATAGACTAATACTTTAGAAGGTTGGTGTGTATTATGTAGGCCCAGCATGTTACAGTTCTGTAATACTGATTGCAAGGAAGGGTTTCCTTTTTAATTAGTTCAAAGAAATATTGGAAGAAATTAAATCTTCCAATTGTAAAAATTTGGAGACAAATTGTGCTGTATTATATAATAGGGTATAAGACTAGGATCTGGGAGTCATGAATTCAAATCCTTGTTTTCCTGAGAAGTTCTCTGTGTGTTCTTGAGCCACTCTCTCTCAACCTAACACCTCATAGGGTGGTTGTCATGATAAAGTGGAGAGGGAAAAGCCACACACATGGCCATAAGGTCACTAGAGAAATGGTGGGATAAAAATATGATGGATTGTCCTCAGCAATATTAAATTCAGTATTAGGGGCTTTAAAACATGCAAGGACTATGCTCTGGATCTGAGTATGTAAGTTACACTATTCCCGCCTCACTGTTAATAAAAAAGGGGGCGGAAAGGAAAATCGTTTTTAAAATAGAATAGAAAAAAGAGGAACTTCCTCAGTTATAAAAACAGATGGTTAGCTTTTTATAGTGTCAGATTTCTAAGAATACCATAATTTATGTACATGCATGCTTGAACATGAGAGAAAGCTTACTAATATTGTAAGGTACATTTATTATTTATTTATTATTTTCAATTTGTATCCCGCCTTGCCAGAGAACATTGATCATTCTGAAAGAGTTCGGCAGAGTACTAAGTATTTACAACACAAATTTTTGAAAATGTTTTAAAGGAAACCATATGGATTTTTTAAAAAACCATAATACACTTGCCTAGATCATGGTTACATCTTGATTATCTACCAACTAAACATTTACAGTTTGTGAACTGTTTGGATTAAATTCCAAGTTATATGTTTGTTTTGGAGGTGTTTGCACAGTGTTTTACCTCTGTGTATATAATAGAATAGAGAAATATTTTATTCAGCGTAGACTTTCCTTGCTCACCAAAGGCCATGGAAGACAATTGGATAAAAATTACATGTACCATGACCTGGTGTATGTGGTTCACGTGTAGAAATGGATACCTCATGATGGATCACTTTTTGTGTGCTGGTAGAGTAGGAAACACATCCTGCACATGAAGGGATACATGTTATGTTGTTTCCCTGGACAAGGGCTGTGATGAAATTTATAGAGCTTACTCTGTTAATACAATTTTCAAAAGTAGCTTTGTTCTACATATTTGGATTACATTAGGTTGTTCTCAGTTTTTTCTCCCAAAAGATCTTTGTATGTGAGGAATTTTGTCTGATTAGCTAGTGTCAATTACTGCATCTTAACATATGAAAAATGGAAGTCAGAGGTTTATAATTTATTTATTTACCATATTTACATTTCCTTTTCCCTTCCGGTAGGAAGCCCCAAACTTATGTAATCTGTATTATTATAAAAGATCTACATCATTATAGGTGATAGCATTACAGCAGAGCATATTATAACACACATTGCAAGATGACATTAGAAAACCTTACAATTTACTTTGAGGGGGGGGAATCAAATAATGTTAAAAACAAGCTCTCAGTTAAAAAGGAATGGTTTTGTGCACAGAATACAGGAGAAAATGTGGCCCTGAGCAATGGAAACCTCCAGTGAGATTTTCATCATTATTATTTTGTGAATCTGGCCATGTACCAATGAAGTTACATGTGTGCATAAGTGCAGACAGGGGTTTCTCTGGTATTTCTGTAGTAGTTTATCACACTTTTGAAGACACAGGTTGCATGTGACATTCAAAAAGGTGTGTTCATTTTTGCAGTGCAATGGACACACCGAAGAAACTTCCAGCGTTGTGTGTGCAGCTTTCCACAGCATCTGCTCTTGGTTACAGATTTGTTAGGTTACTGCTAACGTTTGGGAAGAAGTTAAGAGGCAGAAACAGTATGAGTGAACATATGGAGGATTTCCTTGTTGAAATGAAGGAAAAAGAATTCCTCTACTAGTGATTATGCTGATTTGCAGTTGGCATATACAGGAAGAATACATAGGTCTGAAGATCTAGTGTGGTTTTTAGTGAAAGGGGTATTGAGCCGTAGGCATGGGAGACATGTATTTAAGTCTTATCTCACCCAAGGAGTTCAGTGAGCAGCTGTAGATGAGCCACAGTTTGTGTCTGTTTGTTTAAAAAAGAATAACAGTGACCCCTGTGAGGTCAATTCCAGATGGGTTTAAGGTGACAACGAACTACTGCTTTATTCCACTGTGAAGTGGAAAGTGACAAAGATTCAATACTTCCAAATTAAAAGAGCTGAATCAGAATGAGTATACTAGTATAAATGTTTTCAGTCCTTCATGCTAATTAAACTGTGCATTTGGGCATCTGTGTCCCAAGAAATACTGGGAATTATTATAGGGTTCTTGTTTTTTTCTGTGAATTGACCAGCTGTCAGTTCTCTGGCCACTAGAGGCTGCTGTTCATATTCATGAATTGTTGAT